GACATATATACAAGGGGGAGAGAAATCAGCCTGCACCACAAAAGAACCATCTAATTGCTCATCTAAATAGTTACAGAGTTTAAAAAGATTAAATCCGACTCAGTTTCTAATTACGACCGAAAAATGACTAATTCAATTATACATGGAGCAATTTCTCTAGTGCGGGGGTCGTAAAAAGCGACCGACGGCGTCGCAATTTAGTTGCCGGTTACGCCCATCCAGGCCGCAGGAGTCCGGACAGGGTCGTTACGAGAGCTGACAAACAAAACTTTCGTCCCTTTCCTGAGTCAGCATATAATAATTGTCCCCAAAAACAGTAGCGGATCTCAGAAATTTATTTTATTTATTTTGCGAAATAATTTAATAATTTTTAGTTGGTTGACAGATAATGTCACTTGTCAAAATGTTAATTGATGGCCTACTTTGATCATCAAACGCCTAATGAAGGCCCATCTATTGTCAGAGCGAGAAGGAAAATTTAAAAATCAATTTTTAATTATTCCTAGCTCTTGATTGGGTTAAATATCGAATTTTTGATCATTCCTGGCTTTTGATTGGTTTAGAAATTGAATTTTTGATTATTCCTGGCTCTTGATTGGCTTCAAATTTTGAATTTTCCCGGCTTTTGATTGGGTTTAAAACCTAATTTTTGATTATTCCTGCCTCTTGATTGGGTTAAAAATCGAATTTTTTGATCTTTTCTGGTTCTTGATTGGTTTAGAAATTGAATTTTTGATTATTCCTGGCTCTTGATTGAGTTAAAAATCGAATTTTTGATCATTCCTGGCTTTTGATTGGTTTAGAAATTGAATTTTTGAGTATTCCTGGCTCTTGATTGGGTTAAAAATCAAATTTTTTGATCATTCCTGGCTCTTGATTGGTCTAGAAATTAAATTTTTAATTATTCCTGACTCTTGATTGATTCAAAAATTGTATTTTTGATTATTCCCGGCTTTTGATTAGCTTCAAATTTTAATTTTTCCCGGCTCTTGATCGGGTTTAAAATTTAATTTTTGATTATTCCTGACTCTTGATTGGGTTAAAAATCGAATTTTTGATCATTCCTGGCTCTTGATTGGTTTAAAAATTGAATTTTTGATTATTCCTGACTCTTGATTGAGTTAAAAATCAAATTATTGATCATTCCTCGCTCTTGATTGGTTTAAAAATTGAATTTTTGATTATTCCTGGCTCTTGATTGGGTTAAAAATCGAATTTTTTGATCATTTCTGGTTCTCGATTGGTTTAGAAATTAAATTTTTAATTATTCCTGACTCTTGATTGGTTCAAAAATTGAATTTTTGATTATTTCTGGTTCTTGATTGGCTTCAAATTTTAATTTTTCCCGACTCTTGATTAGGTTTAAAATTCAATTTTTGATTATTCCTGGCTATTGATTGTTTAAAAATTGAATTTTTGATTATTTCTGGCTCTTGATTGGCTTCAAATTTCGAATTTTCCCGGCTTTTGATTGGGTTTTAAAACCTAATTTTTGATTATTCCTGGCTCTTGATTGGGTTGAAAATCGAATTTTTGATCATTCCTGGCTTTTGATTGGTTTAGAAATTAAATTTTTGATCCTTCCTGGCTCTTGATTGGTTTAAAAATTGAATTTTTGATTATTTCTGGCTCTTGATTGGCTTCAAATTTCGAATTTTCCCGGCTTTTGATTGGGTTTAAAATCTAATTTTTGATTATTCCTGGCTCTTGATTGGGTTGAAAATCGAATTTTTGATCATTCCTGGCTTTTGATTGGTTTAGAAATTAAATTTTTGATCCTTCCTGGCTCTTGATTGGTTTAAAATTTAAATTTTGATTATTCCTGGCTCTTGATTGGTTTAAAAATTGAATTTTTGATTATTCCCGGCTCTTGATTGGCTTCAAATTTTGAATTTTCCCGGCTTTTGATTGGGTTTAAAACTTAATTTTTGATTATTCCTGACTCTTGATTGGATTAAAAATCGAATTTTTGATTATTCCTGGCTCTTGATTGGGTTGAAAATCGAATTTTTGATCATTCCTGGCTTTTGATTGGTTTAGAAATTGAATTTTTGATTATTCTTGGCTCTTGATTGGTTCAAAAATTGAATTTTTGATTATTCCCGGCTCTTGATTGGCTTCAAATTTTGAATTTTCCCTGCTTTTGATTGGGTTTAAAACCTAATTTTTGATTATTCCTCGCTCTTGATTGGGTTGAAAATCGAATTTTTGATTATTCCTGACTCTTGATTGGTTCAAAAATTGAATTTTTGATTATTCCTGGTTCTTGATTGGCTTCAAATTTTAATTTTTCTTGGTTCTTGATTGGTTTAAAAATTAAATTTTTGATTTTTTCCGGTTCTTGATTGGGTTAAAAATCGAATTTTTGATTATTCTCGGCTCTTTGAAAATTGATTTTGGAACCCAATCAAGAGCCGGGAACATTCAAAATTTGAAGCCAATCAAAAGCTGGGAATAATCAAATATTAAATTTTGAAACGTCAAATCAAGCCAATCCAGAGCCGAGAATATTTAAAAATTGATTTTTTTTTTTTTTTCAATTTTTCCGACTTTTAATTGTTTGAACTTTCAAACATTCCCGGGTTCTGATTGGCTCAAATTTTCAAAATTCCCGCCTCTCAAACGGATTATTTCTTTATTCAAGAGCTGGGAATAAGAAAACAATGCATCAAAAATTCGAAAAATAATGCCAACCTTTAAAAGGTGCCTTGAGAATGACACATGTGACAATCGTAAAGGCACGTTCACATTTAAATTGCAATTGATTAAAATTGAATGTAAAAAGGGAGTCAAGTTTATTAATGTTATGCCCACGTCGCCATCTTAAATAGATTTTCATTCAAGAACCGAGAATAGCAAAAAAATTGAATTTCCCGCTTTAAATAATAATAATAACAAGTGACGTTTGACACATGGTTTCCATCTCTGTCAAGCGAATAAAAATACATTCGGTAAATAATTATGACGTCATTAATTGAACGTGTCAGCGAACGAAATTTGACAAATCGTATGTCAAATTTGACTAGCAATGACATAGAAGCAAAAATTAGACGATTAATTTTAAAACTGCCTTTAGAATTTTGACAGATGCAATAAATGACAAATGACATTTGACGCATATGTATTAATTTGACGTCCAAAATAATTTGACACATGAAATGGTAATGTCAAATTTAACTTTTGATATATGTTAAAAATATAATAAACAAACAATGACGTTAATTAATTAAGAGTGACACGGCAAAGAATTGAGAGAACAACGTATAACTTTGACAGGTGACATCTGTCAAAAAAAAAAAAAATTTGACAGGAGTCCGGATAGGGTCGTTAACTGACAAACAAACTTGTCCCTTCTGACGTTTCAAGCCTCATAAATTGTGTCAAATGTCATTCGGTAACTTTTAACTTTGATGTCGCGTCAAAAACTTCTGTCACACGTCATTATTTTTGACAACTGACGTGCAATTTTCAAGTTTTAAAAGCAAAAATTCTTTCACACTCACACTGACAAAGCAATAAAAGCAAAATAATTAAAACGTTTCCTGTCGCTTTTGAGAAAAGACGAAAATAAACATCTACCAAATGGGCCGTTTTGTAAACTTTCGCCGCGATTACTTCGAGCGTGAAACCTTTACGAGAATTATTCTTTTCTCTTTTTAACGCCTAGGAGAATGTGATTTATTAAAACGAGACAAGATGTGTTATTTTGGCGGTAGAGTGTGAAAACGCCTTAACGACTACAATAATTGACAAATGATAAATTGACAATGAAATACCAACCGAAAAAAAATTCAAGCATTAAATTATTTTCCTGGTAACGAGCAAATTATTGGAATTATTCGAGTTGTTAGAATTTTGTAAAAACCGCAATCGGAAATTACTGGTAAAGAGGTAGGTACCCAGCCAGATGGTACCTATTATGCACATGGTACTTTATTTTTAAAAGAAACCCATCAATTTATTTGATTTATGTAGATAATATATAGTATTTTGGGTATATGTTTTTAAAAAACCCGTTAAAATGTCAAAAAAATAATTCTAATCCATCAAAGTAGGCTTTGGAATTACATACATATTTTCTTCTTTTTTTTTTCAAATTTTTGTGACAGTTGATGGATACAAAATTCGATTTATTAGGCTACCATTTGGACCAATCAAGAGCCGAGAATAATGTGAAAATTCATCAAGTAGGCCTTATTGGGATTTTCTTCCTCTTCTTTTTTTTTCTAGATTTTCAAATAAGAAATTTGGTACTACCTATATGTATTATAATTCAAACATATACATCAATGACGTAGTTATTAAAATTCATATGCATATAAGCACCTGTTTTTTTTTGAATAATTATTAAGTCGTACCACGTCCCGGTACTGCTAAACATTAATTTTGTCGAAAAAAAAACAATAGAGAGTACCGCCGCCTAATTGTCGATTCAATATAAAAGATGAAAGACATTTTTTTTTTTTGATTTTTCCGTTACGAGTACTGAGTAGGTACCCATACGGTACGACTTCTCACAAAAAGATTAACCGATTATCAAGAAACGATAAATTTAATAATGAAAAGTACGACCATTGAATAATTGATTAAAAAATTATTATTGCTTACCTTGTTTAGTACGCCTCTCCTGCGATTTTTCTTCTTTTTTTCTGAAACCAAATAAAAAAAGAAGAATTTAAGATTATTGAAATTAGTCAAAAAAAAAAAAGAAGAATTAAAAAAATTACAAAGCCTACTTATGCAACTGTCAATATTTCCATGAAACTACTAAAATTACCGGGCAACGTTTTACTTAAAATTTCGCACGTTTCACGCCCAATTAAACAAATTCACAGTTGGATTTTCTAGATTAGTCGCCGCCCCATTGGCCAAAACCCACCCAATCCCAGGCCAAAAGGGGCGTCAAACTCCACCCAAAACAAAACTTCAAAAACCTACCGCTAGAGGGCCTATGAGAAAATACACACGCTCATTCAAGTGTGGTCCTTTCGAGCCGGACGATGGAATTTACGGACGCCGCGCAAAAACCGGTGCCGAGGCCGTTTTCGATCGAGGCCCTGATGAGCGACTGCGTGCCGAGAAAAGTCGAAACGTCGTTTGTCTATGACAATGTTAAAAGTAGTGATTTAATGTCGTCAGATGACAGTGGTGATAATATGGATTTGGCTCAGGATTTGAGCAGGCGGAGTCGAAAAGATGCCGACGGTAAGTTGATTGTTACTTAATCACAAAAAAAAAAAAAGAAGAATATTTGAATTATTAGCGTTTTTTAAAAAAAAGAAGAACAAAATTCCAAAGCCTACTTGAGTTATTAATATATTTCAAAAAAAAGAAGAACAGAAATCCAAAGCCTACTCGAGTTATTAGTGTTTTTCAAAAAAAAGAAGAAAAAATCCAAAGCCTATTTGAATTATAAAAAAGAAGAACAAAAATTTGAAGCCTACTTAAGTTATTAGCATTTTTCAAAAAAAAGAAGAGCACAAATCCAAAGCTTACTTTAGTTATTAACATATTTTAAAAAAAAGAGAACAGAAATCCAAAGCCTACTTGAGTTATTAGCATTTTTCAAAAAAAAGAAGAGCAAAAATCCAAAGCTTAATTTAGTTATTAACATATTTTTAAAAAAAGAAGACCAGAAATCCAAAGCTTACTTGAATTAATAGCATTTTTATAAAAAAAAAGAAGAACAGAAATCCAAAGCCTACTTGAGTTATTAGTGTTTTTTAAAAAAAGAAGAAAAAATCCAAAGCCTACTTGAATTATAAAAAAGAAGAATAAAAATGCAAAGCCTACTTGAGTTATTAGCATTTTTCAAAAAAAAGAAGAGCAAAAATCCAAAGCTTAATTTAGTCATTAACATATTTTTAAAAAAAGAAGACCAGAAATCCAAAGCTTACTTGAATTAATAGCATTTTTATAAAAAAAAGAAGAACAGAAATCCAAAGCCTACTCGAGTTATTAGCATTTTTCAAAAAAAAAGAAGACCAGAAATCTAAAGCCTACTTGAATTATTAGTGTTTTTCAAAAAAAGAAGAAAAAAATCCAAAGCCTACTAATCGTATTACTTCCTTTCCTACTTTGTTTCTGTCTCTTTCTTATTTATTGAGTTTCTCATATCGCTGTCTCTTTATTGGCCACTCAAACGCCGGGAATAATCAAAGTTTGCGTCACTATTTAATTTTTCCCACATTGTCTCTGTCTTTTTCTTAAATGTTAAATTTCTTATGTGTTTTTCTTTGTCTTATGTACACTTTTGATAAAAATTACTCTACACAAACGCCAAGAATAATTCAAATTCGTGTGTTACTTTGTTTCCTACTTTGTTTCTGTCTCTTTCTTATTTATTGAGTTTCTTATATCGCTGTCTCTTTATTGGCCACTCAAGTGCCGGGAATAATTAAAATTTGCCCTATAGACGTAAGATAAATTTTTATGACGTCATTTTTATGCCTCAACATAATGGAAATCTCCATATAAGATCAAGTTATCCATTACCAGACAACATATGAATTTTAACGTTAATTTATCGATACACGAGTTCATCAGGGTTAAAAGAGTAGATTTCTTCTTTTTTCCCATCAAAGTAAGCTTTGGAATTACGTTCTTCTTTTTTTTCAAAATTTATTGACAATTAATAAAGGAGGCTTTGGAATTTTGTTCTTCTTTTTTTTAAAAAACTTGTTGGCAATTGGTAGCCGTCAAAGGAGGCTTTTGAATGTTTCTTTTTTTTTTTGGTTTTTTGACAGTTGGCGCTCGATTTTTAAATAAATTTGACATGTAGCAACCGTTATTGTTTGAAAAAAAATTCTCTTCTTTTTTTTTCCCCTAATTGACTGGCAATTAATAGGTACTACATATTAATCTATTATATACGACATTTTATTTGCGACTCGAACGCACCTATTTTCAATCAAAAGCCGAATATAATGAAAAAATTCGTGTAACGTACAACATTTTATCAGTACCTGCATATACCGGTACTTGTTTGTCGATACAAGCTTAGTAGTATTTTTCAGAAAAAAGAAGAACAGAAATCCAAAGCCTACTTGAATTATAAAAAAGAAGAAAAAAAATCCAAAGCCTACTTGAATTATTAGCATTTAAAAAAAAAAAAAGAAGAGCATAAATTCCGATAAATTTTTGTAAAATTACATGAAATTTTTGTTTGGTTTATTGATTGATTATTTCATTTGAATAAAATTCCGTGAAAAAATTGCCATGAAATAACTTAAAATGTCAATGAAATTTTGTTAAATAACGTAGAATTTCAATGAAATTCCGAAGAATTTTTGTTGAATTACCTACACGGAATTCTGGATAAATTGCAAAGAATTCAACAAAAACTACATAAAATTACCGTGAATTCCCAACATATTAGATGATATGTCGGTGAAATTTCTTAAAATTTTTATGAAATTTCGGAATTTTTTTGTGAAATATCCGTGAAATCTTCATAAAATTACTTTAAATTTTTGGAATATTACATGGAATTTCAATGCAATTCCCAAAGATTCTTGTCAAATTACATAAAATTAGCGCAGAATTCCCATAATATTACGTGCAATTCTGAGGAATTTCATGAAAATTATGTGGAATTTCAGTAAAATTCTATAAAATGACACAGAATTTCGAGAAATTACGTAAAGAGTTTTAGAAGAATTCCTGTCAAGTTACATAAAATTCCGAGGAATTACAGAAAATTACAAAAGATAACATAAAATGTCGGTGATAACTTTGAAGAATTTCATGGAAGTTTTATGGATTTTGAAATTTTAGTTGAATTCCATGAAATCTTATATGCATTGAAATTCGAAAAATCTTTACAGGGAAATTCCGAGGAATTCTTGTAAAATTACATAAACTTTAAATTTTAGCGGAATTTCATGATGAAATAATGTAAAATTACACGAAATTTTAGCGAAATTGCATAAAATTTTACGGCAGAATTAGGAAAAGTAATTTTACATGACAAAAATTTAAAGTAAATAACGTTTTCAAAAAAAAAAGAACAAAAATCCAAAGCCTACTTGAGTTATTAGCCTATTACAGAAAAAAGAAGAGCATAATTCCAAAGCCTACTTAAGTTCTTCTTTTTTTTTGAAAAATGTTAATACTCAAGTAGATTTTAAAATTTTAGTAAAATTCCATGTAATCTTATATGTATTGAAATTCGAAAAATCTTTACAGGGAAATTCCGAAGAACTCTTGTAAAATTACATAAAATTTTCGCAACATGTTTTTATGAAATAACTTTAAATTTTGGCGGAATTTTATTAATTCGGAAAAATTTCATGATGAAATAATGTAAAATTACATGAAATTTTAGCGAAATTGCATAAAATTTTACAGCAGAATTAGGAAAAGTAATTTTACATGACAAAAATTTAAAGTTAATAACGTTTTTAAAAAGAAAAGAACTAAAATTCAAAGCCTACTTGAGTTATGAGCCTATTACAGAAAAAAGAAGAGCATAATTCCAAAGCCTACTTAAGTTCTTCTTTTTTTTTGAAAAATGTTAATACTCAAGTAGATTTTAAAATTCTAGTAAAATTCCATGTAATCTTATATGTATTGAAATTCGAAAAATCTTTACAGGGAAATTCCGAAGAACTCTTGTAAAATTACATAAAATTTTCGCAACATTTTTTTTTTATGAAATAACTTTTTTGGCGGAATTTTATTACTTAATTCGGAAAAATTTCATGATGAAATAATGTAAAATTACATGAAATTTTAGCGAAATTGCATAAAATTTTACGGCAGAATTAAGAAAAGTAATTTTACATGACAAAAATTTAAAGTTATTAACGTTTTCAAAAAAAAAAGAAGAACAAAAATCCAAAGCCTACTTGAGTTATTAGCCTATCACAGAAAAAGAAGAGCATAATTCCAAAGCCTACTTAAGGTCTTCTTTTTTTTGAAAAATGCTAATAACTCAAGTAGGCTTTGGATTATTGCTCTTCTTTTTTTTTAAAAAAAAAAACTATAATAACTCAAGTAGGCTTTGTAATTTTTTTTTCTCTTCTTTTTGACTGGTAACTGGTATTACATATCAATGTGTAACGTACGACATTTTATTTGCGACTCGAACGCACCTATTTGTATGAAAAAATTCAGCAACGTGTAAAACAAAAAAAAAAGACAAAAATGCAAAGCCTACTTGAGTCTTTAGTAATTTTCAAAAAAAAAAAAAAAAGAAGAATTGAAATTATCCAAAACCTACTAATATAAAATAAATATAAACATTGAAGGCGTAAATAAAATGTTGCACGTTACACGTTATCAATTTTTTTCATTATTCTCGGCTCTTGATTGGTTTAAATGTAATAAAAATTAAAAAATTGTTCAATACAATCCAAAGCCTACTTGAGTTATTAGCATTTTTCAAAAAAAAAAAAAAAGAAGAACAGAAATCCAAAGCCTACTTGAATTATAAGCGTTTTTCAAAAAAAAAAAGAAGAGTAAATATCCAAAGCCTACTTGCGTGTTATAGAAAAAAAAACAAAAATCCAAAGCCTACTTGAGTTATTGTGTTTTTTTTTTTTAAAAAAAAAGAACACAAATTTAAAGCCTACTTGGGTTATTAACATATTTCAAAAAAAAGAAGAACCAAAATCCAAAGCTTATTAGCATTTTTCAAGAAAAAGAAGAGCAAAAATCCAAAGCCTACTTGAGTTATTAGCGTTTTTCAAAAAAAAAAGACAAAAATCCAAAGCCTACTTAACTTATTAATGTTTTTCAAGAAAAAGAAGAGCAAAAATCCAAAGCCTACTTGAGCTATTAGCATATTTCAAAAAAAAGAAGAACAAAAATCTAAAGTTCACTTGAGTTATTCAAGGTTGTTTGAAAGAGGTAAATTGCCATAGTAACTTTGATGACGTAATCAAGATACCTAAATCACTCTACCTAAACCTAATGCAAATCTCCATTAGATCGTCTTGATGACGTCATCTTTTCACCACTACCATTACTAGATAACCTATTAACGTTAAAGAACCTTGTAAGTTATTAGCATTTTTCGAAAAAAAAAGAAGAACAAAAATCCGAAGCCTACTTAAGTTCTTCTTTTTTTTTGAAAAATGTTAAGTAAGCTTTGGATTTTTGTTCTTCTTTTTTCTGAAACAAGCTAATAACTTAAGTAGGCTTTAGATTGTATTGAACAGCTTTTCAAGTTTTATTACATTTGGACCAATCAAGAGCCGAGA